GCTGGCGGTGTAGAGCTGTATCCCATCGGGACAGCTGGACCCCACTCTGGGGATGCAGACAGAGAGCGCAATGTCAAGTGAGGAGGCTCAGCTGGCTGCACTGGCCCTTTACTGTCAGGAGGATTGGGCTGTGTGAGTGCAGTGTTGTGTTAAAGTCATCTGGGGAGTGAGAGGAGTGTGTGTTGCCCATCAGGGGACATACATGTGAAAGGGTGTGTGCATGTGGGAGCAGCCCACAGTTGATCTGTGCAGATGGTGCAGGAAGCTTTACGATGTGTGGAAAACATAATCTGCTTTATTTGCATGTCAGTCAAAACATGACATGAGCAAGCATGTTAGAAATCACAGACCATCAGATGAGGTCATGTTTCTACAACAAAGTCGTAATGTTCTGACCTGGATGAGTATTTGCAACATAGACACAAAATATGTTTTGTTTGAGAAGTGGGATAAAGGATGCAACACTTTTCTATTTGGATGAGAGTTGGTATTGATACCACTTTCATTGGCACAATAAATATGAAGTTACCACGGGGTGGTAGCTAGCTTAGCTTTGATTTTAATAATGAGAAGTTGTAGTTGTACAGAACTTTTTCATTGAGGTTTTAGTATTTTGTACATATATAACTAAAAAAGTATATATAATGGGTTTAAGCTAGGTGATTTTGGGTGTATTTTGTTTTCACAAGCTGCACAAACCTGTTTCTAATCGTTATGCTAACTATCTACTAGTTCTAGCTTGAATGACAGATGTAAGAGTGGTATCAATGTTTCGTTTATATCTTGGCAAACTTATCAATAAGAGTATTTACCAAAACATGGACCTATAACTCAACACTTGTGTGCCGGCTTTATCTTCACAAGTAGGCATGTAAAAGCCCACCAGCGCATAGAAGAAGAGCCCGGTGGCATGTTATTTACACCTCTGCCTGCCTAAAAGGCATGAGGCTGGATAACAAATCACTGCAAACCCTGTAATGAATGTTCGGAGCCACTCTGGGATACAACCAGAGTAGATCTCCAGCCCCCTGGGCCTCTTCCCTGACCCGAATCATTCCTGCTGTGATGCAAAGAGCAGCTTAGGCCAGCAGAGTAACAAATCTGTGAGTGTTTTGCAGTTTGAGTTTTTTACATAGTTTCTTAATCATTGAGATGATTTACTGAGGAGAATTACGTGTCAGAATCTACAGTTTACCTCCTTTAGCAATTAGGTGTATTCAGCCTCACCCTGTTCACTCACACACCCACACACTCTGCTGCCACACCCTTGTTGGGAGCCTGTCACTGCTGGGGAGGCACTCCCTGTCTGACTTGCCTGAGGGGCGGGGGGGGGGGTGAATAGTTTCTCATGATTGAGAACAGAGTTGCTCATCCATTGTCGGAGCAGACCTTTGCTCATAGTATCTTATTAGTTTCGGGGATATACAAGTGAGTAATGAGGAGGTTACAAGAGTTTAGTGTCAGGGGGGTGAAACAGCGTGCACTTTCTGCAGCGCAAGATTTACGCGTCGACACGGAACATATGAATACACTACATCAGTGTGGAATGTCACACCAGCGTTTCAACATCGGGTGCTCAACAGTATCCATCTCTGCTATTCTGTCGCAACTCGCTCACTGGCAGCTTTCACTGTACACACATTCCTGCTTAACTGTGCAGGTTTTTTTTAGAAAGAAGCCCTCTAAAGTCATCCACACAGATAGTGGGAACTGATGTGTGTAAGAGGTGGTCTTTGAAGAGTAAACAGTGCAGCTTCCATGTTTTTGAGCGTTTGTGTCGTGGTAAAGACGGTTATGGAGCAATGTACAGTGAAAGTGAACGGATGCATCACTCATTAACTGGAAGAGAGCAAAGTCCAGTCAGAAGTACACAATACAAGCAACGGCTTTTAGTCATACTGAACAATGGAGGAGGGATCGGCAAATAAGCCTTGACACTCAGTTTTACATATACAAAAAGAAAATTGAATCTTTGTTTTTTTTAAATCAAAGCTTTGAGTTATCTTGTTCCACTTTCGTGGCTTGGAGCTAAGTCATGAGCATTGCGGGGAAGGAAAGAAAAAACCAAATGATGAGGAAAAAACTCAGCAGGCAACAGCACTTATCAGCCAACCAGCCAGCATGGCTTCAAACATCAGATGGGTCAGCAGATAAATACCCCCACAGTACATTGCCTGAGCAGAGTTTCGGTAACCTAGGCGATATGCAGGGCGTGTCGCGGCATTGCAACAGTTGGATGAACCCGCTGCCTCGCCCAGGGAAAAAAAGACTACACAAACACTGCCCCTGATTTACAAAGAAAAGGAAAGCTCTGTGGAGACACGCTGTGTACAAGCTCGAAAAACAGAAAGTCATGCAGGCTTTGTTTTTATATTGGTGTGCCTTCAGCAGTAGATCATTTATTACGCTGAACTTAAATCTGGGGTGTGTCAGATTTAGTGTGTTTTTGATTGGATAGATACAGTTGCTTAGTATCTTGATGAACAATCCTCCGTGCTTCGGTTGAAAAGAGGCCACACCTTTTTAGTTAGAACTAGAGATACACCGTAAGCACAGTTTCTGTCTCATGAGTCAGTGCATTGGGGGGAAGGTAGCATGTAGCTGCAAGCTCAGACAGACCTCTGGGGCCTGGTCCTGCAGGATCTTGTGCCAGACTGGCTACTGCTGAAAGTCTCTCTGCTGCACCCTGTGAAGGGAGCGTTAGATAAGTGGACATGTAGGTACCAAAAGAACATATTCAGAGCAAATGCATATTGTAATTACGCAGGCCCAAAAACCATGTGGGGACTTGTCTAGCCTAATCAAATATCAAAGAGAGGACAGACAACCTAATGAGGAACATGCAGAGCACACACTTATTGTCATGGTTTTCCACCACAGCTCGAAGGGGAGAACAAGTGGGCGGGTCTAGCCGAGGTACTGAACATTACACAACACGTCCTTACGCAAACCCAGAGGGCAAAAAAGATTAGGGAGTGGCGCCTAACATCATGAAGAGTTCCAGTGTAATGCTGAGGGACCAAGCCGTTCAGCTTTGTACAAATTCCTGTCCTCCAAACCCATCGATCAACTCTGATTACAGCCCTTACTGCACCTTTAGGTTGTGCTACCGTGAGGGAGTTTGCATGCAAGCTCAGGTAAAGGTGGTCATTTGGGGGTTTATGGCTCTTTTTGTGCAACACAGCAGCTTGACGTTAGGATTAATATCCCTGAACTTTTTATTACCTCTGTCAGTTGGCAAGTTTATGAAAACACTACTGAGTTGATTTTCATTGGTGGAAGGGTGTAGCAGGGACAAGTAACAACAACCCATTCAATATAGGAGTTGAAATAAGTGTGCTTCATTCATGTGGTGTAAACACATTTGTTTTATGGGTAACGCACAATGATAAAAGCCCAACTAGTCTGAGCAACAACTCTGAAACTCCCATTCACTTTTTGTCTGAATGCTCGGAGCAATAAAAGACAACACCTCTTCTTTGTAGCCTACATGATGTTTCCATATTATAACTTAAAGCTCTTGAGCACACTGAAGTCGTAAAAACAATTCTCCTCTTTTAGAATGGTACCAGCCAAGGCCTTTTTACAGGCCTTGGTTGAGGTATCTCTGATAGCTGTTTTATTGAGAATTGAAGAAGGAACATAACTGTAGACGCTTATTTCATGGAATCATGTTGTAAGCTGTCATGGCCACCTTTCTAACATTTCAGTCTATGTTGAAGCCTTTTGTTTGTTGACCATGAAGAGCATTCCTGCAGAAATCCGCAAATACCAAACTTGTACATGTACAGTACAAAGACTCACACGGACACACATCCTGTCAGTTACCGAAAGACATCTGAAAACACTTGTGACCGGCACAGTGGATGCATTGTACTGCATCTGTCATATATGTTGCACCCAGAGACAGGCGGCCATTAGGAATGCAGATTTCTCTGTGATGAGAAGAGGGTTTATGTGTTGGGTGACATTCAGCCTGCAGACAGGCCACAAAACATGGTCTGACATAACAGGGTATTTTTGGCCCTTATAACAATGTCTAGGGATTGTCTTCATTTTAAGGCGATTAGAACATGAGAAGAGGACATTGTGTGAAAAAAAACATGGCGATTACATTTAGTTACAGCTAAAAGGTAGAAATGTTTGATCACATTTTTGTGACATATTTTCCTAAAGGAACAACATGGTTTGCCTTATCTTCACTGAATATTCTTTACAAGTCTGGGATTCGCACTTTGCATCGGAGTTGCATGCATTTAAGTACATTCCCATTTAAGCGTGGTTAAAAAAGAGATACAGTAAGATATCCTGGTGAGGATTGAATACATGAGTTAATGTAACGAGAAGAATTGTATTAGAAGTTAGGTGGTGCAGACCAAACTTGCACCAACAAGTAGCGTGGCCGTTACGCAATCTGCAGCACTGTTTAATTAAAACTCAACGAGATGCCTATAAAAAAGACCCAGGAGGCAGGTCAGTCTTACAGATGGTAGAATTGGACATAAGACAAACGGAAGTAAAATGTCAAGTTGCAGGAACTTAAAGAGGTTTATTGGTGTGAGAAAAGGAGCTTGCTCACTGTCTGTACACACGCACTCTCCCAGCGGTGTAGAAACCTGACGAGCAGGTTCCTCATTGCGTCAGCAGCAGGCTGCTCCCACAGCTATATGGGCAGGGGCCGGGGTGAAAGGTCACTGTGGCTGCCTAGCATTCCTGACTTACAGCTGTCTCTCTGCCCACTCCGCCTCCCTCTCCCATGAGCCTCTGCTGCCGCTCCGTGTTGTCATCTTCAGGTCAGGGTGCACGGCAGGGAGCGGGGGGGGTCATCTGCTGAACTGCCATACTCGGGTTGCATTTAAAAACCGAATGACAGCATTGTGTGAGGAGGCAGACACCTTGCTGGAATATTAATGTATTAATGGGGAGAGGCAGGCGTGTAAAGTTAATCCTTGTTATAGAAAAAGATATGACTCTCATATTTACCTGTTTTTGTGTTTCAGGTTCGCTCCATCGTTGTGACGAATACTGGAGGCAAGGATGGCAATGCATAGTAAGTATCTCACAATTCAGCTATTAAAACATTTGAAAGTCTGTGTCTTTTAGTCTTAATTTTATCTTCCCACATTTCTGCAAATAAATATATAGTGATTTAAAGATTTTTTTAAACTAGTCGATAAGAGAAATAATTGCTCACTGATCATCGCTTATTTGACACATGAATCTCCCGCCCCTGACACACAAGCAGCGGTTTGATTGGCTAGAGCTTGTACTGGCATATGATTCGATTGGCTGACGCTTCTGCCGAGGCTTCAAAAGTTGAACATTGCTCAACTTTTCCAGCGAGCCACGCCAGCAAAGCTCCGCTTCGCTACCCACAATGCAGTTTGGCGAAAAGTGACGTCACCCCATTCAAAGTGAATGGTGAAGCTTTCAACGCACGCCGCTGTGTGGACGGGTCGTAAAATACATTTAAAGATATTAGCTTGAGCTTTGAGTAACTTCAATGGACATGTTACAATATTTTCTGACTTTTTTTTATTGATCAAACAATTAAATGTTTAATCAGGAAATAATTGGCAGACTAATCGATGATTAATAGTATCAGTAGTTACAGCCCTACATGCATTTTCAAGTGAATTTGTTTGCCTGTATCACCTCATTTTACAAAGCAGACTTGTTTCTTTGATCATGACCTTTCCTTCTTCCAACTATTGTTTTCAGATGTTTTATATTGAGGTCACTTCCTTATCACATTCAACAACGGAAGGTTATTTTTGCAGCAGGGTTCCTTTTTAATTTGATGCAGAAATTAAACCGTGGTACACTGGCAATGTTTTTCATTAAAACCCTCTGTCCATGATGATAAAACATGTTATTAAATTAATCTGAACCATCACTTCCCACAATGTTTCCCTTTCTGCAGTGTATGAGGCCGATGGCACGTCAAAGGTGACGCAGTGGCAAGATACGATGTATGGCCTCGACTCGGGCATCCAGTCTGGAGCTACTACAGTGAGAGACGACGGCGATTACAGCTCCTCCAAGCACGTCACCACGACCACCACCACCGTCATGTCGGAACAGCCCGGTAAGAAAATGAGCCAGGGCTAACCCAGCATGATGCTTTTCCTCAATCACATGTAGCCTGTGATCTCATCACCTATGTATCCTCTTCTTCTCTTCAGTGGATACTCACTTCACCAGAGCCCAGCGTGTGCGTGCTGCGATGTTCCCAGAGACAGTAGAGTCAGGCACCACCATCGTGTCCACTCAGATAGACCCGTCCCAGATGACCAACGTCCAGCGGCTGGCCGAGCCCTCCCAGATGCTGAAGATGGCCATCATCCACCTGATCAACTACCAGGACGACGCCGAGCTGGCAACACGCGCCGTGCCCGAGCTCACCAAGCTGCTCAATGACGAGGACCAGGTGAGCGTCACACAGTCAACCTGGAATAAGTGCATTGGTCAAATGCCATATTGTTTATTACATTATTAAAGATCTAATGAGTCCAATTGAATGTATTATCAATGCATTAACTGCAAATAGCTATTCCTCAATCCAACTAAAGCAGATTTTCAGTTTAAAGGAATCTAAACCAGCAAAATGACCATTTGTGTATCAATTACAAGGCCTGTGTTATGTACAATTATTTTAGCAAACTCACCTCAACGATGAACAAAGAGTCTAAAAACGGTTAACCAAAGGTCTTTATTCAATTGTATACGCATTTCTTCACCAACGCAAGCATTTTTGCTAAAATCTTGCTATTTATGATGCTTGTGTTGTAAAAGCTTAACGCTTCAAAAATACTGAAATGAAAAAAGCTATTGAGTTATTTGAGAGTATGTACACAGATGTTTTTTTGTAGCTGCACACATTTATTTAAATTCATCAAGACTACTAATTTTTTTCATTGTGAAGGGATGTGAGACAAACAACGTTTTCCTTATGAATTCAAGTTAACATCGGTTGAGTAATTTATACACAAATGGTTATTTTATTATCATTGCTATTGAAAATCAAATATTTCGTCATTTAGAAAAAATGTGATGGTCATTTGAAGGCATCGTTTAGAATGTTATCATTTTTAATTCAAATTTCTAATAGCATTAGCATTGAAATCAGACACTTCTAATTGCCTGGAATATTTTCCATCCATAATAAAAATGAACTCTTCCCCTCTGTTCAGGTGGTGGTCGGAAAGGCTGCCCAGATCGTCAACCAGCTGACACGCAAGGAGGCGTCTCGGCGTGCGATGATGCAGTCCCCACAGATGGTGGCAGCGGTGGTGCGGGCGATGCAGAACACCAGCGACATGGAGACGGCAAAGGCCACAGCCTCCATCCTCCACAACCTGTCCCACCAGAGGGAGGGTCTGCTCTCCATCTTCAAGTCTGGAGGCATCCCCGCCCTGGTCCGAATGCTCAGGTACGCCCAGACAAAGAGATAATGGGTGTTATTTCAGTCACTTATTACTTTGACCCTCGTTGTTGTCTTCAATGTTAGTATATGTTGCAAAAATGTACATTTTCTTAGATTTCAGGTATGCAAAGTAAACTTTTCCTAAAACACTTTTTTGTTTGATTTAGAAAATACCTTTTTGGTTTTGGCAAATGAGATTCAAAGCAAATGTTTCCATTTTGTAAGTTTTTTTTTTTAACCAAATCCTTTTTCAAATATGCAAACACCGACATTGAACTGCATTGTAAAGTACCCAAAGATGACTTTAAAGATATAGAAGAGACACAATTAACACAACACAATTTTGTACTGACTTTACCAGAAGAAAACCCTTATAGAATACAAATAATGCTAATTTTGACATCAGAAATAGCCTCATGATCCTCCTGTCCAAATACCACCTTTTCTCTCGTGGAGAACCTTCTGTTTCTGCCACTGTCTAATCTCGTTCAAGCATATTCTGTGAGTGTGTTGACTGCCATTATGGACAATGTATGAGATTGCACAATGAAGTATGACAAAATGAGGTTCAATAGGAGGACAGTAAACATCAAAGCTACTTACAATTATTCATTACATTGGAAGTGATATTTTATCTAACAGTAGGACATTTATCCTTTACGTACGGCCACTGGACAAGCCTTTCCGTCTTTGATACACCGTTAACCCCTCTGTTTCCCTCCCTCAGCTCTCCCATGGAGTCTGTGCTCTTCTACGCCATCACCACGCTGCACAACCTGCTGCTGCACCAGGAAGGAGCCAAGATGGCCGTCCGTCTGGCCGACGGCCTGCAGAAGATGGTTCCCCTGCTGAAGAAGAGCAACCCCAAGTTCCTGGCCATCACCACGGACTGTCTGCAGCTGCTGTCTTACGGCAACCAGGAGAGCAAGGTGTGTATTAGCCAGTACATATCTTACTTCATACCTGCAAAGTTCTGTAACCTGAGAAGTTGCTAGGCTTGTTTGGCGATGTGTTTCTGTTTTGGGTGTGGCATGTGAACAGAACTGCTGGCACGGTGAGGTTTAGGTGTGGTTATTGCGGTGATGATTTACTGATCTGCCCGAACAGCTTTTGTCAGATTTTGTTCGCTTACACAATCCCCCCCTCTCTCACAGCTGATCATTCTGTCCAACGGGGGTCCAGAGGGTCTCGTTCACATCATGAGAAACTACAACTATGAGAAGCTGCTGTGGACCACTAGCCGTGTGCTGAAAGTGCTCTCTGTGTGCCCCAGCAACAAACCCGCCATTGTAGAGGCTGGTATGTAACACATGTTCCCTGTGTAGACGCACACCTGTGTGTAGGCGCACAGGTGTGGGGACTTTATGTCAGCGCTTCATGAAGACAACAATAATGAGATGTTGCTGAGGGATCTAACCTGTGTGTTCCCTGCAGGTGGGATGCAGGCTCTGGGGAATCACCTCCAAGGCTCCAGCCAGCGTCTGATGCAGAACTGTCTGTGGACGCTCAGGAACCTTTCTGATGCCGCCACAAAGCAGGTATGAGTCCACACCCACTTCTACTTTGTTGTTCTTTCTAAAATAATTCTCTGTTTTGATGAAACTGAAAATGATATGCTGCTGAGACACAAGAAAGCTAATTTTTCGCAGGAAAAATGTTCAATGTCCAGGCAAGAGTATCCTTTGGTGCATTTATGTCATTGTACTCCAATAATAAAATACATAAAGAACAAGGCAAGGGCTGCACGATATTGAAAAAAACTGACATTGCTATCGCAATGTCAGTTTTTTTCAATATCGTGCAGCCCTTGCCTTGTTCTTTATGTATTTTATTATTGGAGTACAATGACATAAATGCACCAAAGGATACTCTTGNCTCGGTCGGGAATCGATGGCTATTACTTTTCTCATTCATAACTTTCATAATTCCAGAGATACATCCCATAATACATCACATTTTTAACATTTGAACTTTAACATTGAGCAGCGTTAACTAGAGTGTGTGATGTCACAGCTAGAGTGGAGGACAGCTTGAAATTTGCATTAATATATATTTTTTAAACTGCCATAATTCCCAAACCCTACATTCCTGAGACATAATTTATCATGACAAACGTAGGAAAACATCTCGTAGCTTGAAAAATGACAAATAATTAAGCAAAATAATTAAACAAAATGCTTTTTGAGGGCATGAAGTGACAAAAACGTTCAACATTCCTCCATTAAACCCCATTGTAATTTCAGGCAGATATTTCCTCACGGCAGCAGCCGGACACCTTTAGTTAAACTGCCAAAAAGGCCACATTATTAACCCGAAACTACACAAAAATTACACTTCAGATACTCAACTTCCTTGACATGCTTCACGTTTTGAAATTTCACAGATATCTGTTACGGTTCTTCCACAAAACGCTCACAAGTAAGAGGTTCATCTCTCATTCAGAACAGTGAAGCCTTTGAAGTCTAGGTACCTCGTTAGCTCAACTATAAACACCTGTGCAATGGAACACGATGATGTCATCACTCCAACTGACATGCTCAGAGCAGCAGACTTCAGATAGCAGTGTGCAAACAGTCCAGCCGTGAAGACATTTACAGGACAGTTTTGAGATTTCTTCAAATGCCGTTGCCATGGCAACACAATGCTCTTCTTGAAACACGGTTTTCTCATAACTTCAGTGAAAATACTCCAAACAGCCCAAAACTTCACAGGTTTGGTAACGATGCAGCCATCAACTTATCTAAGCGTATTATGGGGTGTCATCAAATGCCGTTGCCATGGCGACAGATCATTCGCCATCAAGTTAGTTCAGAAGTTTGCAGTTCAAATATTCTGCTGCTTTTCCAAGCCTTTTTACTTTCTTTTCTTCTCCCATCACACATTCAAGCCCCCAGTGTTCATGTATCATTTCAATCTAAATTCTTCACTTTCTTCTTACACATTACATTTCAGCATAGCAGTTTAGGGCCAGCTTTTCAGCATAAAGCATTCCCACTAGCAATTTCTTCAGGAATTGCATTCTCTAGTTACACCTACTGTACATTTTTTAAATTGGGCTCTATTGTGCTTTTGGGGGGTTTTCCCTTTCCTGTAGTGTGTTTTATAGGTTTAGGTGCATGTAAATGGTCTGCAAAGGCTAACATCCCAAAGTCTCCTCCAGAGGGAGTTTCTCTTCCACACCCCCCTAACCCCTGCCTGAAATGCCTCCAATGGACTCCTTTGTTTACTTCTGTAACATAGTGACATGACTGTGTAATACTCACACTTCTATTGGCTAGCGCTCCGACACATTGTACGTGATAGCTAAGGGATGGCACATGTCATGTACTGCAAGTTTAAAAAATTGCACAATTTTAATTTAAAAGAGGCCCTCTTTTGCTTTTTGCAGTTGCGCTTCCTGTAGTGTGTAAGGTATTTGTGCATTTAAATGGTCTGCTAAAGCTAAAATCCCAAAGTTTCTGGACACCTTTGTTTACTTCCGTAACATGGTGACATCACTACAGTTCACCCATGCTCTTATTGGCTAGCGCTCCAACATATTTTATATAATAGACTAATGGGCAGGACATCTCTAAGTGGTTGACCAATCACAACAGAGCTGGCCAGCTAACTAATCAGAGCAGACTGGGCTCTGGTTTCAGACAGAGGGTGAAGAGAGGTGCTGCAGCACAGGCAGTATGAGGAAAATAAAGAGCTTTTTTAACATTAAAGCATGGAAACATAGTAGTTAAAGACAGTAGAAAATGAGCATAATAGGGCCCCTTTAAAGAAAATACTAAATGTATTCAATTGGATTTCGTTCTTAAAAATACCTGCACAACGAGAAGGATTGTATTTTATTTTGAAGTGGGATTAAAGGGGTAATTGGCGTGGATTCAACAACAATATTACATTTAGATCTATGGTTAATTCTTTACAAACAACTTAGGTTGATAAAAGGACAAAAAGTTGATTCAAACCAGGGATGGATGATTCAACACTTGGATTGGATGAGTAAAGCAGTAGGCATAGTGCAGTTACTGAAAACAGAGAACTAAAACATTTGTGAAGAACCGTTTTAAACATAGACGTGATAACATTTCTTTAAACGATAACACACACAAAAAGTGAAAGGGGAGGCACCAGAAGAAAATAATCCAGTAGTACATTTGGGTCAATAGAGTGGTGCAGTGACGAGTCCTAAAACCCGGAAGTGAGTTAGCATTTTACCACTACGGGTTCCCACGTCTCAGAGTCAATGGGATTTCTCCATAGGATTTTGGAAAATAGCTCAAAATAAGGTCTCTGGTTGACACAAATGTAAGAGACGGATCACGTTTTGTCCTACAACATTAAATAATAATCAGTAGCAGTGACCCCACTGTCTGTGTCTGATAAACGATGGTTGTTACTGAGTGGCTGAATAGGACTACAGAAGTTGTCGAGGACGTTGTACGTCATTACACTGAACACGTAAACACTCCCGCTAAATTTGTTTGCCCTGTTCTGCTTGAAAGCAAGTACTGTACCTGCGCTCATGCAAACTGTTAAAACAAAAGCTTCAACTTGTACAATTTTGAATCTGTATTTTTGAATATCGATCTTAAGTTGGCGTGACTTGAAGCAGCGATCCCGCTGTAGTTCGTTTATAGCATAACGTTAGCATTTGGCTTCTGGCGATTAGATTTATGATTCGAAAATTATAAAAGTAGGGTCGAGGACATTTTAGGTTTAAAGGAAATTACAATTCCTCTAAAATATAGGTGAAAAGTGTATCAAACGTCACAACTTCAGAGGAAGAAAGGCATCATATGTGTACAGCATCCACAAATGTTTTTCTTTAATCTGCCTAAAATAAAAAACAAACATTCTGGAGGCAATGTGGCCATACAGATGCACATATCTCCTGTCGTTGTCTAAAAATAGAACCGTTCTGGGACAGAGTGATTTCAGTATTGAATGGGGTACTAGGATATTTCATCTCCTAGAAGTGTTCCATTTTATACGAGCAGTATAACTGAAGTGGTTCTGAAGAAAGACATTTACATAAAATATGAATAACATAAATATTTTGTAGGAATAAAACCAGTATCCTGCATTTATCACAACCATACGCATCACGTTTCTTTCCCATACACATGTCCTGTAATATAAAACTCCCACAGCACATAATAAGATATAGAGATTAAAAGCAAATAACATAAAGTAGCAAGTACATTAAACAAATCAATACCACTCATCCATGGATTCCAGGTCCAATGGAACCGGCTACCTCTCAAGGTTATTCCCCCAACAGGAGCGCATTCATTTACATCATTAATCCACAGAATAATATACAGAAAGTGAGATGCTCCTGACTCAGAAGTGATGCATCTTTTGGCGGCCCTAAAGCCACCAACAATAACTTTATACTTTGGGAGTACAGGTTCAAATCGGTCAAGCCCCCAACATTTTAATCGCAGGAGATTACTTCCCTTAATAACATTTTCCAAGAATATTCCCAATCTTCAGCGACCATGATTATGAAACCACAGAGACCTCAGGTACAGAGTTACCCCTCTCCTGTCTATGAAGGCTATTGTATAAGCCTCCGTGATGTCAGATAGTATTTTTAAATATATGTTTTGGATTTTAAAAGCCAGTATTTAGGTCTATCTAACCCGCTTGCTTTGACTGCATGAAACTACATTAAAAATCTACGGAAGAGTATTAGGGCCAGGCATAATGGTAAAAAAACAAATACATTTACTTTTGTATTTATTTATTTTGGCATTCCAAAAAAAGTAAACCGAATCAAATCTGAATGTCAACTTACAGTATATGCACTACTGCTAGGAGTTTTATTTTATTTAGTTCATGAAATGGAAAAAAAAAAGACCGGTTCCGGTTTATGCCTTAAACTATAATGAACGTTTTACTTTTTCGTGACATATTGTCTTGTTTTTCCCCTTCCCTGGCCCTAATAATCTTTGGTGAAAAACTACTGAATCACACCCTTTTTTTAAACCTTGATGATGTCCCAAAAGGCTTAAAGTTTTAAAATAGAAGTATATGATGGGAAACACAGCTTGTGGAAATCTCAAAGTTTATCCCATAAATCAGCTCAGCCTCATCAGTCTCCACTATGCTGTTTGATCATTATGTTAGCCTGTTACCGCCCCAAAAATATTTTATTTAAATATATATATATATTAGGGCTGGGCAAGTTAACGTGGTATAATCGCGTTGATGCATTAATGAACTAACGCTTACCATTTTTTATAACAATTATTAACCGTTTTTTAAATTAATATTACACAAACTAGATAAAACGTTAATGCCTTGGCAGTGGCAAATAGCTTTGGTTTTATATTTGATTTGATTGCATGAATTCATGTTTAAGTTGAGATTTACACATTTTGACTGATACTGTGTAAAGGGAATACTGCTGTTAAAAAGCACTTTTTTGAAAAAGTGTTTGCAAACCAAATGCTGCAAATGTGTTCATAGCAGTACTTAAAAGTGCAAAACACTACTTTTGAATTTTGCGCATAACAATTAGATTAATCACGATTAATCGCAAAAATCATGCGATTAATCGCAATTAAACATTGGAATCGTTGCCCAGCACTAAGTTATATACTGTATATCCTGTTATATTATAAAGAGGAACCATCTCAAAATAATGACTTAGCATCACAAAATTATGAAAAGCTTTCTCCATATTTTGAGACAATTATAATGTTCTATTCATTTTGACTTTGTATCTCATGTACCTTATTATTTGGAATTGATGGCTCATTATCATGACCTATCTCATTATTTGGACTTACTATCTCATTATTTTGAGTTAATACCTCATTGTTTTATTTGATACCTCATTATTTTGGCTTAATATCCCATCATTTCGATCAGTTAGTCAGATGAGAAAGTAAGTCATAATAATGCAATATAATTATTATAATGATTTACAGGGATTTGTTTCTCTCAGTGTAATGGGCTTCCACACTTTCTATGTTTCTTTTTACCTTGAATCGCGACCTTGGTAATTGGATTTACCTGAAATGTGAGTGACTCCCTCTTTAAGCAGCCCAAGGACGTGCAGCTGACACGGTATCGATCCGCAGGTATTACTCCTTCCTGCAGAGCCAAGGTGAGAGCGTCCATCAGGGAGAACAGATCAGCAGATATACTCTCTCTCTCTCTCTCTCTCTCTCTGTCTGTCTGTCTGTCTGTCTGTCTGTCTGTCTCACTCCCTCTCTCTTCATTACTCTCTTCCTAGCTGCTTATCTCTCTCACTCTTCCTCTTCCTCTCAGCTCTGACATGCAGATGCTCCGGCCGACAAACGGAGTCTTTGTTATTTCTCCTGGATGTTTGGACTTTCATAAAAGTTAAATAATCTTATTTCTGCTGTAAACCAACCTTACATGTAACACTTTAGCCTGAAGAAGCCTTTTAGTGACATTGAAGAGCGCGCTTTTGCTGAGGAGAGTTTGGATAGAGAACATTATTCCTTTTGCACGGATCTTTTCTACACTTTTCTGTCCTCCATTTATCTGAGACCAGTTTGCATCACGCACAAAGGCTGGTTCTTGCAGAAAGTGATATGCAAACGGGAGTGAATTCATAGACGAGCTGCGGCTCCGACGCGCGCGCCGTGTCTTGCAGGCTGAGCGCGGGGCTCCGGGAAGAAGTGATACAAACAACAAACATGAAATCCAGGAGTCAGGACCAGAGTTTGTCTGACTCCAGAGAGCTGGACAGATCTTACGACCCGCTCACAGGTATCAGTCTTTGTCCTCTTTAAAAACTATCTTGGAAACTGCTTTCCTGCTGCCCTGGAAAACAAAGATAAAAACAAAAAACAGCCATTGTTGAATTATTGTGTAATATAAACTTTGTATTATTGCTTTAACTGTAGGACAATATCATTGCGTTCTGTGAAAGCTGTGATTGGAATTTCCATTTTTTTATGATATTTAATAGCTTTAACGATTAATAAATTGTAAGAAATATTAAACAGATCCATTTAATGAAAATGATCATATTTAACAGGCCTATCACAAATACGTGATATTAATGTTGGTCATGTCGAAAAGAAAATGCTCTAAATATGCTCTAAAAAGTAGAGTTGTCCTCGACTAAAAGAACAAATCATTCTCGGGCACAGCAATACAAAACTGGAACTCTCTACCAACTCAAATCAAAGACATACATGCACATACCACCTTCACAGCTCACTTAAAAACATGGTTCACTGAGAACTACACCTGCACATACTAGTCTGTGTTGAGTATGGCGTGAGTGTTACATGTTGTGTTACATGTTGTGTTACATGTTGTAATCATGGATGTTGCCCCTCGTTTCTGTTATGTGATTGTGATGTGCTATAGGCTATGTGACATGCACTGTATGTAGTAACGTGTGTTATTTATTGTTCTCTTTTATCCTCACACCGGTATCTACTTCTCTTTCCTCCTTTTTATTTTCTTTTTATATATTTTCTTATAACTAATGCTGTTGATATATTATAATTTTAAGGGTGTCTATTACCATCTGGCCGGGGACAACAGCTGGAAATTAGCCATGTCGGCTAAAGCTGCACCATTTACTGTTTTTGTGACAGTTCATCGATGGGGACTGTCCACGACACTATAAATAAATAAACTAAACTAAACTAAACTAAACACATTATTTGATTATTATTATTATTTAACACTAATCGTTTTCATTGACGGATCTATAAAGCTGAGTTTCTCCTGCAAAATTCCCACTTGAAATATTGTGTTTAACTAATAAGTACTTTTGATAAGATTCTGGGAAATAACTTATTTAACATGAAAAAAGACATAAACTGCAAATAGCTTGCTAGACTGAGACAGAATAAGCAAATGCACTGTCTTGACAGTTAATATTGAAGTGGAAAATGCCGTTACTCAAATAAAAATAAAAGCAAGGGATTTTTTAAAAACTATTTTGCTAATCCATTTCTAAGTCTGAAGTTAAATGTTTTTACTGCTGTGCTTATGAGTCTAAAAGTTGCTTAAAAAGAGATGCCAGGTTAATCTTTGTACTTAATGGTTTGTTGTTGTAATACACCATTTGGACACAAGAGGCAGCATATTCTAAATACGACAAAGAGTATTCATGTTTTCTTCAAGGTGGGTTTCAAGATCTCCGTGCACACTAAACACAAAATACTGTACATATATTATATTGTGTATAAGTCACCTACATTAAATTACGGTAATAACTATCTTTTTGCAAGAAACGTATTATTATCGTTGCCACTTTTAGTCCTACTAGAACATGGAGAAGTTGTGCCCCTTGCTGCCGGAAAGATTATTACAAACAGCAAACACGTGGGAAAATGACTCTGCAAAAGAAAAAGCATCATCCGGGAAAACGTATCCTTTGAACGTCAAAGCTCACATTGAAGAAAACAGGATTGCTTTCAGTCCGTTAAAGACGTAAAGTGGTGCCATACTCCAAACCCTTGTGTCCCAAAAGATTATTGCAACAACAAACTCTCAAATAATCACCATCCAAATCTTCACCTGTGTCTTCTTTAAAAAAAAAAAATCTTTACAAACCTGTTTACTTTACACCCGTTTCTTAGTCATGAAGAAAAATGTAGATAAGACCTAAACAATGTTTTAACTTGTATTCTAATATAGACTTTTGACTGTTAGTGTGTTTGTGGATGTGTGTGTGTTGTGTGTGTGTGTGTGTCTGTGTGTGTGTGTGTGTGTGTGTGTGTGTGTGTGTGTGTGTGTGTGTGTGTGTGTGTGTGTGTGTGTGTGATTATAGTATAATTGGATCAGTGAGGCTTCTCTGTTCGTCAGACTATTCAGTCTTTTATTTTCCTCATGAGTGCTTTGCAAAGACAAGTCTATTTAGGGATTAAGCATCACACCGTTGGTGTCTTTTTTCACTTGGTTTTGTCTGTCTTGTGACACATTCCAAAAAAGTATAATCCTTTAAAAATAAACATATATAACATCTATAGAGTGGCACAGCTCTGTTCCCCTTGCAGGATCCTCCTTAACCACTGTTTAAAATGCACAGATGGCATACAGCTTTATTGGCTGATGTTTGTAGCCAATGAGATATCCATTCAGCAGCAGGTTAACCAAACAGTGGACAGGTGCACAAACAGTGAGGCTTTAGTTCACACAAACACGCCTTTTTATTATGGAGGGAAGCACAGGGGGGCTGTGGTGATCAACAACCTGAGACACAAAACTGTGTAACTGCAGTATTTGCTGTTTGTATCTATTGTATCTGTACAATAAGCATCCAACAGTCATGTCAAATGTATGGATGAAGGAAGCAACAAAAAATACTCATGGTGGAGAAAGGCTGTAAAAAATACATTTGAATGATTTATCAGCTGCATACATTAAACTGTGCAGTGAGTGTGTTTATGTGTAGTGGCTGTGCTGTGAGAAGAAGATGAACCTTTATTTACTCAGACACACAGTACAAGTAGGTGCACATGCATTATTTTGTTATACAGACAAAGTACAAATACAAACAGGCATTTCTGGAGAGGTCCAGAGCGGAGAGGCAGCCAGTCAGTCCGGCAGTTGGGGGTTCAGTGCTTTGCTTAAGGGGAACTCGGCAGTGCCCAGGAAGTGAACTGGCACCTCTCCACCAGTCCACACTCCATATATTTTTGCATTGGTCGGGACGTGAACCGGCGACCCTTGGGTCTAAGTCCCTACAGACTGAGACCCTGCCGCAGTAAAGCTGCTTTTTTCCTCCTGGCTGTGTTTATACATTATAGACACTACATTTATCAAGTCATCACTTTCTACACTTCACATGTTACAGTGACTGCTGCTGATGAAGGGCCATGATGTCATGTTTTCATTTAAAGGGATAGCTCAACATAATGGGAAATTCACTTATAGTCTCTCTTTCCCACTCGTAGATGTCATATTAAATGTGAACTATGTTTGCAGACAGCTCAGTTTAGCATTAAAGACAGGTGGACATTGCTCTGGCTTTCCTTGTTTTTTTATCTGCTAAAAACTGTGTAAAACAAAATGTTAAGTTGTAAGAAGAAATCAAGTATGGGACTATATATTTGCCCCCCCCCTCGTAACTTGGCAAGGTGTTGTTGTATTTTACTCAAAGGCCTTTGTACAGGTTGAAAAAACAGGGTATTTTACGATCTTTCGAGTTGCTGGTGGATTTGACTACCGTTGGAAAGAGTACGACATACCATACTATGTCATTTTTATTTTGTTTCTAAACATTTGACTGTGATTGTTGTTTCCTGACCCGACTCCAGGTGTCATGTCCTTGGAAATGAACTGAGAACGGTTCATGTAGTGGGGTTTAGGGCCATGATAACATGAATTTCAGTAGTCGGGTCATATGTTTTCACTAGTTATTTTATGGTAACAAATCATTCACTATTACTTATTCACTTACTATTACATTTCCTTATTCACTAATTATCTGCTAAAATATGGTTGCTTGTTATTATTAGATAATAGTCAGGGAGGAAATTAAGCTTTTGTTTTAGAGACCCATGGAGGTCAGCAAGCTGTGGTTACACTGTGGATTTGGAGGTGATTGAGAGCAATGTGCTTACATTTGATAAGAAAAAAAAAACCTACCAGCTGTCAGTTTGGGAATCTTTAATCCTAATACTGTGATTAACTAAATCTCCTAAACTCAAATTCAAACAGAGTTTTTCCTTATTTAAAGCCCTTAGTTTAGGAAGTAGTTTGAGGCCTTGGAAAGTCTGCAAATACTCTGACTTATTAATTCTCCCTTCAACATGAACTGAAATGCAATGATTTATGCCAGTCTCCCACAGAAAACCTGCCAAAGTGCTCAATAACCAACTGTTAACTGGATGACTCCCCATCAAAGCCTTTGGACTCATTCCTTGAACTCTCTCAGTGCCTTTCACTTTTTTCCCTCCAAACTTAAAGTTAGTTTGAACCGGTGGATGAAAGTGTCTTGAATGTGTCGATAACAGCAGGGATGGGCGTATCGATCCGCCTCAGAGGGCTTGCATTGGTTGCAATGGATTGTCACCAACAGGGTCTCCATAGTGATGGAGGATCTCAGCTTCTGCTCAAATAACTCAGTTATCCATCAGTTCGACCCTGGAGACGTAACGTTCAATGATCAGTCTGTTAAGTGGGACAGCTGAAATGTTACTTACTGCTACAATCTGCCACACAGAGTTTAATACACAAAATATGTCGCATTTGCTTATACTGTTACATCATGCACACAATCCTTTATATTGGCTGACAGTGCATAGTTACATTTTGTCCAGCTGAGGCTTATGATCTTATGTAACTCTTTAAATAATGACTGGTTCGCTCTGTTTTTTCCAGATTGCTTAACATCAAACAGCTTCCCTAAGAGAGCTTTTTGATAACTTGGAAAATATGTATATTTATATTTGCTCTGCACCCTGTCGCGTCTAAATATATCAGCTATAGACATAAAACAGCAGGGAGGTTTGATGTTGTTTCTGTCGTCCTGCAGAATGGCTGTTTGTGTCATTTTCCAATCAAATTAATCTGTTGTCAAAGTTGCTTTTTGAGTCGGCTTTTTATGAATATACATCTATTTATTATACATTGAAGTTTACATTTGGTACTAATACAGTTGAAAGCCACCACAGTCAGTTCCTAACACTGCTGTTGGTGTGTTATTGAAAGGGTTGTATGTAGAGTTTGCTTTGTTAAATAAAACTTTTGTGTGCTTTGGCCTTATTCATCTGTGTTTTGTATATGGGAATTTATTTGAGTTAAATATATTTCCTAAATGTATTGTGGGTGTGTTTATTTGCCTTTCACCTGGTTAGGCCGTGGTGGTTCAGTGTCTCAGTGTGAAGTCTGGGTGCCACGTGGATCCTGTGAAGCTGCTCTTTGTTCCATCAGAAACCCCTGTTTGACTGAAGCTGCTCATCCGTTAGAGCACTTCAATGCCTCCAGATTCAATCCGGTTTCAATGTTTCCCAACCATTGAAAACGTACAAAGAACTTAAACTTAAAAAAGTAGCCTTGTGATTAAAAACAAAAAAAAAACCTCTAAGACCTTATAATGAGAAACTTTGTGGAAATGGCATTCCATACATAGTTGTTTCCTGTCTGTATATCTTCTTCCTTCCTGTGACTTTGAGGCCTTATAAATTGGAAAACTTCTATCTGACTGTAGCTCAACACTGCCCTCTGGTGGCAGGAAGGATGCATACAGGTCCAGACGTGGCAACATGTTTGTTTAAAGGTCTCCTATTATGAAAAATCCTCTTTTTCATGACTTTTATACATAAACATGTGTCCCCTCTGTGTAAAGAGACTCAAAGTTTGAGGAAAAAATATTCCCTCTCTTTTTGTCCTGATACATTTATATAAAAACACCTGTCTTGACAATGAGCTGATCAGATTTTGGCCACTTTGGGATGTCACAAGGTTTTTTTGGGCTTGTGCAACCATCAGCCAATAAGCTACCAAGGTAACACCCGCCCACTTTATCACCTGAATCTCTTCCTTGAGCACCATATTTAAAAAAACAAAACTCAATCATCTCTTAGTGGGGCGTGGGGAGTTTGGCAGTTCATTTGCATTTAAGTTACAGCAGAATCAACACTTTTGAAACAGGGCTGAAACAGAGGGCCTGTTTGGTATTTCAGCCAAACACTCCAGAGACATGTTTTGTATATATCAGAGACCTAGTATATATTGTTAAAAAAGTGTATAATATGGGACCTTTAAACTTTTGTTGCATTGCAGGGTCTCCCTTGAAAAAGAGATCGATGATCTCAATGGGATTCACCTGGTTAAAAAAAGGTTTGAAATGAGTAGTGTCACCTCACAAAAAACAAAGAATAAATCAATTAAATACGGTGTCTGTATTCAAAGACACCTTCTGGTTAAAAAAAAAGGATTACAAATACTTCCTATAGCCTGTCTGAAGCATTTAGGTCACACTCTGACTGACCTCTCTATATCCAGTCATTCCCTCAGCCCTCACATGATGGACGCTCTCCCACAGCTTTGATCCGACGGGTCACACTGGTTCAAAGCCAGGTCAGCAAACTAATTTTTGAGCATTAAGTTGCGTTGAAAAGTAATGAAAAGTATTTGCTTGTAGCTTGGCCAGCGTTGTATCCATCTAACATGGTGTTCCTAATGTGGGCCACTCTATCTGCCGCTAATCTGTGCTGTGATTGGTTGTTTCCAGGTAATCCACCATCCAAACCCAACGAAAAGACCATAAAGCAGCGCTTCCTCAAACTTCTGCCCTGCTGTCGCTCTGGCTCCAGCTCTTCCATTACTCAAAGCAAGTGACACAGTCCATTATCACTTTATTCAATTCAACATTTTTGCCTGACACTTTTGACACTCTTTGACTTCATTGCTTTTCTATATTTTCAGCACTTTCTCTATTTTCTCTCGACAAGGCATTTCATGTTAGGGAGTAACTATTTCATTTATCTCTCATGCAGGTAACATAAGTGATGATGACGAACTGTCGACGGTGCGTTACCGACCGGAGAGGATCGACCGCCTCGTACAGCAGACCAAATTCACCAAGAAAGAGTTGCAGGTCCTCTACCGGGGATTCAAAAACGTCAGTCAATGTTTGATTTGTGCACTTTTTAATAATTTTTACTGACCATATGGAGTGATATTGAATTAGATGTATGCATGAGAAAGCCGGTGTGCTTTCCGTTTACAGATCTGTTTCTTTCATTTGGCAGGAGTGTCCGAGTGGGGTGGTGAATGAAGAGACTTTTAAAAGCATCTACTCCCAGTTCTTCCCTCATGGAGGTCAGTCAGATCCTATGGAGGCCCATTTCAGCCATCGAAAAAAAAAATGAGACTTCTAAACAAAGTAAAGAATGCTTTGTATTTAACTTTGACTTATTACAGTAAAAATAAAGGGCAATTCTCTCAAAATAGTGAGTTATAGTATATGATTTTCATCATAATGACTATTAGTGTCAGCTTTTTCCTTCATCATATTGGCAGAAAATACCTTCCATAGTTATCAACCTCATCTATGTCATATATTTAAGCTTTATTCTCAATCTATTTACCAAGATACCAGCATTTTTGTGGTATTAAATGTAAAATATTGTGCATCTTCTAGCTTCATTGTTAAAGACTTTTAAAAACGACACCAGATGATATCGCAGTTTGAGTCCATACTTCAATCTTTGGATCACTCTTCTCACTTTATTTTCTCTTTCTATCTAGATTCAAGTATGTATGCACACTTCCTGTTTGAAGCTTTTGACACCCACAACAATGGATCGGTCAGCTTTGAGGTGACGTCTCCCCCCTTCACACTATGCTGTCCAGCCAATAGTCCCCCTTCATTTTCTCCACTTCTGAGTTTCCCTCCTTTATGCAACTCTGTCGTTTTAAAAGACTAAGATAAGACAACATCTATTGTTAAGCACTTAGTAACTTTGGTTTGTTACTGTAATCTTTGTCTACTTCAGTCTATACTACCATATGTCTACTGAATCGAATATTCACTGGCTTTACCCCACAGTAAATACAAACTTGCAGAGACCAAGAGAAGTGTAATATTTAGAAGTATTTGTTTTTTTCTGATGATGGCTGTAACATATTTCTTTACCAAGACCAATATATACATATCAATATCCCTCTTCCTTATTTCCCTTTCCTGATCCTCCTGCTTCTATATTTATATTTTGAATCACTCCTACTGATGTCCTAATCACTTTCTGATCCCAATCATAGCTCTGGTTTCTTTCTCTTGTTGTAGGACTTTATTGTCAGTCTGTCCATCATCTTGAGAGGATCCATCACCGATAAACTCAACTGGGCCTTTAATCTGTACGATCTCAACAAAGATGGCTGCATCACCAGAGAGGTACGTGAACCTCTATCTCTCTCTCTTTGTCTCGTGTTATATGGGCAGCTCTGGGTGGCGCTTCATTTGTTCACATCTCTTCTCCTCCCTTCTGTTGTCCAGGAGATGACAGACATCATGGGCTCCATCTATGACATGATGGGGAAGTATACTTACCCCTGCATGAAGGACAATGCTTCCAAGGAGCATGTTGACAACTTCTTCCAGGTAAACACATATTATGTTGACGCCACACCAAATGATTCAGGTGTATTTGATTCGATTTGCTTTTTCAATTTTGGACTTGCAATTAATTGGTTTTAACTAAAATTGTGCTTTTAAAGTGTTTTACATCTCACTAGAATTATTCTGCTAAAACATTTCAAATTAATCCATAATAATCTGCTGCTACATGTTGTGGACTACAGTTTTTTAGGAATTTAGTTTGGCATTTTTGGTCTGCACCATCTTGTTTTTTTAAAGCGGTTTAAAGATGGTGGAGCCAGGAAGGAGCAGGGCACGCTAAAGTTACCAGATAAAGCTAACGCTAGCAAATGTAGCGAATGGGGCAAAAATGAGCAGCCGACTCCTTGGAAAGTATTTTATGCAACAAAATGCAGAGCCACGCTGTGAGAGGGACTTCTCCATAAAAGATAGCCATGACCTAAAGCATAACCTGCTTTATTGTCTATTTTACTATAAATAAGACAATAAATCCGGTTGTGTATTTTCAAATTCCAGCGCACTCGAGCTGGTTTCTCCAAAATTACATACCCCACCTTTAAGACCATAACCTTAATATGAAATAGTCTACTGAGTTAATAAATTAACTAGAAGATAGGATCATTTTCTCATAGACTTCTATAGAAACAGACTTATTTTCGAACCAGTGAAGTAGCCTCCTGCCGGCCATTAGAAAGAATGCAAATTAAGGCTTTAAGTTGTTTTGGATTCACTTTTTAAGGTTTCCGCTGGGTGGCAACACTAAAAGCTTTCATGTTTTCCTTTTGGTTACCCTTTGAAAAATCTCTCCCTGTTTGTTATTTTTCAGAAAATGGACAAGAACAAAGACGGAGTGGTCACCATTGAGGAGTTCTTGGACACATGCCAAAAGGTCTGCTGCGTCCAACCATTTCAAATCCCTCTGCAGCTTTCTCAGGAGTTTAACTGTGTCCCCTTGTTTCTTCATCCAGGATGAAAGCATCATGCAGTCCATGCACATGTTCGACAATGTGATCTAAATCTTTAGGAACTAGATTTCTCTCTTCTGCGTGGACCTCATCTAGTTCTTCAGCCCCCAGAGGGAGTGAACGGTGCTCCTGGATCCTAAACAGAGCAGTGCAATGTCCTGAGGATATCTACACCAAAACCCATCTTCTCCTGAAATGTCTTTATCAAAAGTGTACAGGAAGGCCTCACACATGTGGTGTTTAAGATCTTGAGAAAATGTTCTGAGCAGAATGATTTGAACACGCATATTTAATGCTGTAGAAAAGCAGCTACATAAACATTGATGAACAGAAGGGTCAAACAAGCAGATATATGCAGGCTTCTCTCGAGGCCTCTTTACTCATTCACTTGTACTTTCTCTCTTGCATGAATGAATGTGCAGACTCAAGGAGCAAATTGAAAAATGCTCAAAATGTTGTAGAAAATGTAAAGTATCACTTTTTCTACTCAGTTTTAAGGACAGCTCTGATGAAGGGATGAGGTTTGAAAACAAGCAATAATCTAAGAATAACATGTTATTAAATCTGTCCTCAATGTTCCTATGAGATACGACTGTTCTCACCAATCACATGTATTGTAAAACCGTATACTGTGTGTGCATGATGTTCCGACTGGCTGTTGAAATGTTGATTTATTTAGGTAAGAAAGAACGATGATTAAGTTCAATAAAACGACAGTTGCTTTGCAAAAGTGTTTTCAAAAGTTGTTTTTTTAAATGCCCAGCTGAAATATTACATCCATTAATGTCACGGTGCTCCTTCATATTGTTAAAGGTTTTCCAGCCACATGTTTAGGTCATGTTATAGCTTTTTCTTTTGCAAAGGTAATGAAACAAAAGAGAGTATGATAAAAGGCACAATCAATACTCTCAATTCCTTTGAATCTCCTTATTTCAAAAAGAACAGATCTAGGCTGTCTTTCGTCCCACAAGCCATCAAACTCCTGAATAAATGATGGCTTGGACGCACTGTTTACCCAGCTGGTCTGGCCCTGTCCCCCCCATTTCGCAAATGAGGGCCTATAGGCCCCTTGTCATGTCTGCCAATATCTGGTTTTCTTATGTCTGTTTGTTTTAATATGTGTCTATGTTGTTGTCAGTGACGTATTGTCTTATCTTTTTTAAATAACTTTGTGATGTGCTGTAACCCATTTTCCCCTCGGGGACAAATAAACAAATACTATTGTTTAAATCCTGATTTTCACTAATTAAAAAAATAAAAATAGAATTTGACTTTTAGACTAACAGAATCCCTAAAAAACAACAACACTGACCCGAGTAAGCAAAAGCATTATTTTTAAGGTTTAAAGACTGAATATGTTCTGTTTTCTGATTCATTTGATATTAAAATTCAGTTTTAGCTGCTTCAAAGACTTAATGTGGACCTGATCGATCACATCAATGAGATGTTATAAGCCAGAATACGTTTCAAAAAACATGTTCTCTGTGCTGGACTTTTCCAAAAATAAAACGCCAATTATTCTTGTAGATAAAGGGAAAAAGAAAGAGAGAAATTGCTAAATATTACTTCATGTGCAAAAACGACTTCAAATGTGCATTTACATTTCATGCAACTATAAATATTTTCATAAATTGGAAAACTGGTAAATCATTGAAAACATGGACACCATGTTGTTTAATATATCCTTTATTTTTATTAAACAAAATTTCAGTAAAAACTCTTAAGTAGAAAGACAAAATGTTCCCTGTCAGTAGTTCGCTCCGGCTGTAGGGCCGTCCCCGTCTACATCACAACACGTCGACTAAAATGTATTTAAACGTCTGTAAAACCACATCGTTGTTGTTCTCCATCTAATGATTACGGCCGCATAGAAATCGCTTCTAATTCAGCTCAGAGACATCTTTGTTATATTCTGCTAATGCCGGATAATGTGAACCTTTCCCAGTGAATAACTTATAAAAGATGAGAAACAATTCCTAAAAAAAAACAACTAGCGGGGGGGGGGCCCTACACACTGCTCCCTCATAGACCTCTCATTTGTTCATTCCTACTGAATTAGTGCCGCTAGAAAAGAGCGAGCGTGTGTAAAATAACTCTTTTTGGGTCAGGCGGGAGAAAGTTGACAGCATATAATGTCAAAACTACAGCGTAGACAGCAGTGTCTGTTACAAAGGCGTTAAGAAAAGAAACGGTGAGCATGTGCACCGTGCACGTTGAGCCACCTCCGGCAGTGTTTTCAACTATTACTCTTTTCCTTTTTTTACGTACAAAAAAAGAAAAAAGAAGGAAGCTACACAATTATCATCACAAAATAAAATCTCTTTGGCATAGAATACCCACCCAAAAGCGTAAACACACACGTACTCGCAGACACACTCACATGCACACAGTCTTTTAAAAGGTTCTCTAACAGAAACCTAAAAGCATCGTCAGAGTTATAATCAGCAGAATTATACTATAAAACAAAGTTTAGCCCTGTTAAGATTATGAGTCCCGTACTCGGTGATAATTGCATATATTACATCAGGCTGAGCGCAGAGGGAATAATCTCTACGGACGACTAGATCTTCTTCTTTGTCCAAGTACGTCACCGTGTCCTACGCAAGACCTTTCCGTCTCTTTTGGAACTATAAGAAGAGCAAAGAAAAATGATTACTCGAGACAGATTTCAGTTTTTTGTCTCTGGGGAAAATAGGTCTCACAATTCCCCACACCAATCAGGAAAACAGTTCATTATGTTTACATTGTAAAATAAATAAACATTCCAGATCTGTATTACTTTTACAGCAATCCTATATATCATAAGTCAAAGAAAATGTTAGCGGAATTGAACTTCAGACTAATAAATACATTGGATAAGATTAGACCACAATAAGTAAAAACTTGCTAAAAAACCAATACATGTTCCTTTGAAAGAGAGAAATTAACACAAACAATGACAAAAATATAGAACCTTTTCCACAGATTACATTGAAATTATTTGAAAGAAATTACAAAGATTATCCTGGCATAACCTTTCATCAAATGGATCACCACGAAAAAAAGTTCCCACTAGCCTCTCAGGGCTTCCGTAGCTCAAACGACTTATCTTAATACAGAATACCAGGAGATGTTTTGTTTATTAAATTGCTTATTATCTGGTCGTTATTATTATTAATGATCAATCGAGAAAAGCGGATTAATTAAAACCAATCTCTCAGGGGGATTTTAAGAAAACAGATCCTGATTGGCTGAGGCAACGTTAGCATCAACTGACCTTTAATAAGGGTCCGTTCTTTCGTAGGGGATATTGAACTCGTCCGGCATCATCACTCCCTCCATTCTGTCCATGTGCATGTCCCCTGGGTACGCTTCGTAGGATGCAAAATTAGGATCCATTTCTGCAACATAACAAAACATGTTTTTAATTTCTTTGAGATATAAATAATGATCTTTTGATGCTTAAATTCTTCTTTCGAGATGCTTAGTCATTATTTATAAGTTATCAAGTCATTCATTTGAGCTACTTAGACATTATTTTAAGATAGTCATTTTGAGATTTAAGGTTATTATTTAAGATACCTAGTCAACATTTTGACAATGTTTTTCCTTATTTAGAGATTCTAAGTAGGCATTTTCGGATACCAAGTCATTATTGAAAGACTTGCCCAATATAATGACTAATACAATCTTTTTTTCCAAATGATGTCAATGGGCTTTCCTAATTTTGCTTCAGCAGGGCGGCGTCCCGTTAGCATATGACAGCGCGTCACACTGCGGTCGCTCCCTGTGGTGGAGTGACCCAGTGCTGGGGAATGTGCGTGCAGATTTCAGGCATAGTTACTCACCTTCTGAATAGGGTCCATCCATGGGGAGGCTGTTGTGGGCCTGCGGCGGTAACGAGAGGGCAAAGGTCAAATAACTCAACACTTCAATATAGACAGTTTATTTATAGTCCTTAAGGGATTATTAGGATAATTTAATAAAAAACAGTTTTCAAAAGCAATTGTTTGCAGAATCTTCTTAAATACTGATGTCAGCATTTTATAAAAGCTGCCAAGGTTTAAACCCAAAGAGTTGGGAGGATTTCTAAATACATTAAATAAAAATAAAAATAATTGTCTTTATGTCAAGTTGTCAGTGGAGGGCGCCAGACACTCACCAACTCCCATGCTTGGGGGTCGAGTTTGAACAGGGAGTGTGTGAGCTCCACCGACACTCGCTTCTTGTAGTCTGAGTTCTTGTCCTCTGAGATGCGGAAGAGCACAGCTGCTGCGTAAGTAGCTGAAAAAAAAAGAAAAAAGAAAATATTCAGTCATGTACAAGAACGACCACTCCTTATAATAATACTTGCAACAACAGTAATGTGCTTAAGTGTGGGGTGTATCAAAAAGGGAGACAAGTCCAGAAGTGTTTGTCTGAAAAACACCAGAGGAGTTCTCATGCTAATAACTGAGTCACAACATGAGAACTACCTGACGCATTATTGATCAAATCTTCCAATGATCACCTGGAAAATCTTATTAAGACTTTAAATCTTGTTTGCTTGATCATTTTTAAAGTCTCACATTTTCTCGTACAAGCAAATCATAAAAAATTCCAATAAAAAAAAAAACCTTGAGCAAGTACCCAAAGTGTTGTTTAAAATCTTCCACTTTGCAGTATTTTATGATGGGATTGTATCATTTTGTCAACTATCAGTCATTCTGAAATGCAGTGGAGTTATAGTACAACGTCTCACCAAATGGTGGCCACACAGTGGGGTAAACTTGAGAAAATTGCCTGTGTTCCTTTCCACCTATGCCTGAACGCTACATTACGCCGAGCTAATCGCAGTGCATTATCCTACCGATGCCCTCGTTGTTGGAGTGCAGCAGGTCCATCAGCGGAGCCGACGCCCCCTCGCTGTCGATCAGCTCTGCCGACTGTTTGTCCAGGGCCAGCTCGCACAGCACCCCCGCTGCCACGCGCTTCACGTTGTCCACTGGAGAGTAGAGGAGCTGGAGAGAGGGAGGAAAGGATATAAGTTACAAAATAAAACACCAGGTTTGCAGTGGAAAAGGTTTTTTGCTTAGGAAGGTTCTTAAATGGGTAAGATGACCCAGTAGTACCGAGGTGGCAGCCATGATAACAGAATCTGAATGCTAAGGAACGGAGCTTCAATGTTTCTCTTGCTATCTCCTTTAGTATAGGACTTAAAGGGACGATACTTTAAAGAAGGAAAGGAGATAATACCGTCTAATAATTCTTTGCAACAACGACAAACAAAGATCATTCCAGTGCTTAATAAGCATTTTTTAAAGGGGCCCCATCATGCTCTTTTGGGTTTGAGTTATATAAGTCTTTGTGCATGTAAATGGTCTGCAAAATCTACATTCCCAATGTTCACTCCATAAGGAGTTTCTCTTTTTTTGGCTATTCAACCCAGGAAGTTAATTTACAAGACTAGGAAGTGTGAGAGATTGAGTTTCTTGTGTTACCTGAACAAACAGAGGAATGGTCTGCAGGTTGGCGATCTCCGCTCTGTTGATGGGGTCTCTGGCCAGGATGTGCAGAGCTCCTGTGGATCCCTCCACAATCTCCTCCATCCTCACACCATCCTGGGGGGCGGGATGAGAAGAGGACATGTTACTCTGGTTTAGAGAAGTTCCTAAATAATTCACAACTACTCGTTTCCACAACCAACACGTAGTTATTCAGTAACCCTCTCGTACCTGGTATGTCTGCTGGGTGGAGGAGCCGTGTTTCTGGGCGTCCTGGTGGGCTTTGAGCAGCAGGTTGACCAGGCGGGGGATGGCTCCAGCGTCCCTCAGAGGGGCCTGGTTCTCTGGGCACAGGGCCAGGTTTCGGATCAGGCCGACCACAGCCTGCAGGGAAGACACGGTCATTATACTGAGCACAGATATTGATCTTCTCTTTATAAATCAGCACAACTCTGACAAACAACTTCAAGCTATTATATAAGAAATATGAACTAAAAACAAAGTTTCCACCCCAGGGTTATGTACCTGGGCTGGATTCAGGAGAGTATAATTGGAAAGGAGGACCTCTACCTCTTTAAAATCTTGATACTAGTGGGTAAAAAGGCCATCACACGGAACTGGTTAAAAAGTGACCCTCCTGGACTGGGTCAATGACTGGACATTGTTGAAGACATTTACTATGGAAAGACTGACCTACTGCCTAAGGACTAAAGCAGCGATCTGTGAACAATGCTGGGAAAAATGGACAGTGAACAAGGACAAATAAAGACTGTAAACATGGAGTAGTGTGGTCCCCTGTTTTTTTTTTCTACCTATGTAGTTGTGTGTGTTATATATTTGTCAAATGAAAAATAAAGAGTTTAAAAAAAAAATACGACATTTCCTCCCCTGAAGCCTGGTCTTGTAAAACATACTGTTCCTGCTGTTATGTCATTTCATGCTCCTTCAGGCTGATTGAGACTCTGGCATCCCCTCTTTCCATCTGTCCACCATTCCCCCCAGACTCTCTTCCTCTCCCACCAACTCCTCTGTGTTTGTTTCACAGTCCTTAACTAATATTCCCTCTAACCACCTGCCTACCTCTGCTTTCCTCTCTGGAGCACTTTCTCTCTCTCTATTCCCCTATACCTATGGGCTCAGACAAGGGTTGGTAAGATTGAGCCTTTTAAAATGATACACAATATAAAAACAAAAAACTTGATGCATCATTTACAACCTTAAAATCTTAGAGCTTCAACAACTAGTTTATCAGCAGTAAAATAATAAACTATTTAAAAAATGGATTCATTGTTAAATCATACAAAAGGGCAATAATTGCTGCTTTCAAGCCTCCATTCTACAACAATTAGCTGCTTTCCTTGGCAAAAGAAACTGGGATGGACATTATGGACTTTTTTCTACCAGACAATTCATCCATAATTAAGACGAAGAGACTGCAGCTTGAATGTTAATGAACATATTTTTTAGTTGTCACCCTAAACCAAGACTCCCAACTCTTCCTCCCTGTTCTCTCAGTACCTTGATGACGGGCCAGTAGTAGGGCTGGTTGAGCAGCTTGACGATGGCGGGGATGCCGTAGTGCTGCCTCACGGCGTGCTGCGCCATCTCCGCCTGCTGGTGGCGTGATGTCAGGTGGCGCAGGGCGCATACGGCAGGCTCGACCACATCCTCCTTCTCTCCGGCGCGCAGAATGGCGTGGATCAGCGCCTCGACGCCGTTGCCCTGGGTGACCTGAGTCTTGTTGTGGGCGTTGTTGCATGTGAGGTTGGACAGGATGCCTGTGGAGCAGGTGAGCATGTTGAGGTCGTCTGAGCTGAGCAGACCCACCAGCACCTGGAGGAGGCCTTCCATACCCTCCTGCAAAGGGAGGAGAACGATTTCAGTGTTAATATGAGACTCCTGGAGCATGGATTCATGTCATTTAGTAATTGGTCATTTCTTTTCTAGCTGTTTTTTGTTTTATACTAAATGAATCATTATTTAGTGTAATTATTTTAGTCAAGTAATTGTTTATGCTTTATTCTGAATGCAGTTTTGGGTACCTGGTGATTTGGTCACCTGGTGATAAGTGTATATATTGGAGACAGGTGGGATTAGGACACCAGCATGAGCATATGGTTTTCTTTAACCAGCAAAACATAGGAAAAGCCACAGGGAAAACCATTGCACTGTAACTTGTATTCATGTATATGTGTTATTCATGTTTTATTATCTTTGCTCTTAAATGACTTTTTTTGAAATGCCATTTTATAATATGTTTCTGCTGCACTATTTCTTAATGCTCTTAATGTCTTTCATTTTGTAAAGCACTTTGAATTGCATTGTGTTGAAAGGTGCTGTATAGGGCTGAACGATATACCGTGTCATGGCGATAACCGCGATATTCACATCGCAGGGACTTGCAATTTTTTTTTTTTTGGGATTTTCTTTTTTAGGGCGTTCGATATTAAGTAGGTAAATTAACTAAAACACGTCATGTTACAATTATTTTGCTGCTTGCTACAAAAGGAAAACTTGCGCGGCTCTCATGTCAGGGGTACTTGAGTGGAGTGACATGCAGGCTCTGAGTCTGCATGCACAGCAAACAACTATTTCAGATGCCTTTGCCGGTGTTACACCATATGAGAAAGGTTCAAAACGGCATAAAGGAGCTGGTGTATAGCTGTTCTTAATTTTATTTTTATAATGTTTAAAAGATGTCTACTACTTTGCTGCTATTTGCACAAAAAAGGTTTTAATTGTGGAATAAAAAGTTAAATTACCTATTTGGTCACTTATGTCAATTCCCTAATGTGATGATGAAGCTTCCTATAGTTTAATGTAATACGTTTAATCTCTTGGATCCCTTCTAGACACCACTCTTCTTCATTCACAGATGAACCCCCTTATTAGAGGGTAAGCAACATGCATTATCATGACATGTTAGATCATGACTTAAGGTATGATGAGTGCCGTCGTACGGATCATGTAAGGCACATTAACGTCTCGGCTTGGCAGCACTTCTTCGACAGACTCGCATAGTACGTGAAAGTTTTACCACTAGAGCTTCCCCTCCTGAGACCGACTCTCACACGTTGGTACACAACACGGACAGTTAGGTTCTTGCGGGCGGACGACCTCGCGGACCCCTCTTGGTGCAGGCCCCCTACTCAGTGGTAGTACAACCGATTTCTTTGTTGAATATGACTATACCAAACTCAATATTACGACGTTACCAAATAGAGCAATCTAATATAATTGTCAAACAAAAGAACACGAAAAACTTATCTGACTATCTCCAGTACCGGTTTCATTGTGGTCTGTCCTCGTTGAGACGCCCATTCCACCGGACTAGACAATTCTGGTAAGTTTAGATTGAGAGAACAAAATAAACAATTTACATAATTAGATTTTGCTCGTTACAGCATGTATTTGGTTGTTGTCCCTATCCATTCATAAAAAAGTCCCTTTTAGTACCACTTCTCGTTTACTACAAACAGACACAAAATCTTTACACCAGAGGTAGGTCTCGATATTCACAACATCAATAAGTAAGTCACTCCCGGATGTTCTCGTGCTTCTACCTGATCCGGAATAAGAAGACATGGCGTGGATATCTACTGACCCCGCATGTGTCACCTTAGTCATGAAATTAAGTCCGTCCTCCTACCAATAACTCATGAATCTACTTCTTAAAAAAGTCGGAGTGATCTGAGTGTGTGTATATGTCATTATTCACAACTGAATAAAAAGATACTTGTCGTAGGACTCTATTTTGTGAGTCAAAACCACAGGAAAAGAAATCAGCCTGTCATTTTCAGGTGTTCAACAGGAACGCAAACAGATGGTACCACTAGCATTCGGGTTACTCGCATTCGATTGAACCTCGCAAAGTCCATTTTGTTGTATTTATCGACTACCAGAGGTATTTTTTTTCCATATTTAATTCAAGAACCAAAAAATGGAACTTTGGCGAGTTCAATAGATGGCGAGTAACCCGAATGCTATGGTACCTCCTTGTTTGCGTCTGTTGACCACGAAAAGCAGAGACACCATGGATATACTTTTAACCTGTGATTTTGACATCACAAGAATAAGATACTAAGAAGTATCTTTAATCAGTTTTAGTAATTAAGGAATTAATGAAATATACACCACACATACAGATCACTACCGACCTTTAGAGTCATCACGTGAGTATGAGGAGGAACGACTTAATTCATTGACAAGCGTACAACAGGCGTCAGCTAGAACCACGCTGTCTTCCTAATACGGACCAGGTAGAAACCGAGAAACTACCGGCAGTGACACATGAGTGGGAAATCGTAGAACTACCGAAGACTGGTGTAAAGATTTTTGTGTCGTTTGGAGTACAACCGAGGAAGTTGGGTACTTAAAACGGGACTTCCTTTTTGCGCGCGCCGACAACACAAATTCTACATTCGTGTAACGGAGCAACAATCTAATAAAATATGTTATTTTTCTCTCAAATTCTAAACTTACCAGAATTGTCTTGTCGGAATGGGGCGTCTCAAACGAGACCAGACCCATAGGAAAACCGTACTGGAGTAGTCAGATAAGTCTTCGTCTTTTTTTTGACAATTATATTAGTTTGGCTCTATTTGTTAACGTCGTAATATTGAGTTTGGTATAGTACCACACTTCACAAAGAATCCGATTGTACTGTCCTGCGTGGCCTGCAACCACAGACGGGTCCGCGCGGGTCTCCGGCCAGCAAGAACCTAACTGTCACGTGTTGGTGTACCACCGTGGAGAGTCCGTGTCTCAGGAGGGGAAGGTCTAGGTGGGTACACCCTTTCACGTACTCATGCGAGTCTGTCGACAGAAGTGCAGCTGCTTCATCCCTACCGACTTGCTGTTAGTGGACCATTCTTTTATATAGTTGACTCCTATCAATGTGAACGCAGGACGATGCCGATAGTTTACAAAAGAACGAAACGTAGACCACTCTGTTGTTCTAGCAATTGTATAAGAAAATTAATTAGACGTGAGTGATCCGCGGGACGGCTATAACTTATTTGACTGTACCGCTATAAAAAGGGCTGTATATGTGCATGAAGGCCGCAAAAAAAATTGGATATAGAGCGATGCTGGCCTGCTCTCCTAAAATCAGCCTGTAGACTAGAAATTCTGACCAACTTGACGTAGTATGAATTTCCACTGATAGTACGTTTACGGAAAACATGCGACAAAATATGTACTGCCACAGGGCCACAAGCGTCCCTGAGTGTTACAGTCTTTGTTGGAGAAATACAAGGAAGGTATGTTTTTTAGAATTTTTTATCCCCGACGTGCCTAGACTATAGGTGCTGACTAGGTGTAAACTCTGTGAGAGATAGCTCGTGTGGCACGCGAGGCGATAACCGGTAGAGGTGTTTAGTCCTCCTCTGTCGGTGCCTGTACGCAAGCTTTCGCGACCTCCTCGACATTCACTGTATAAAGTCCGGTGGTCTACCACCGCACAGAGCTGACTAGGCTCGTACTTCCCTCACAATTTAACTTGCTGCTCCTTCCGATTTTATGTAAACAACCATAAAACTTTTTTGCTTTTCATATTTATACGAATATATCACTCAACCAGATAAAGTGATAGTAATAGATAAGATCTCAGACTACTTAATACTAGTC